GATCCTATAATTTTATAATGATTCGATTTTTCAAAATCAGATTTTTCGGTTGTGCTGTATTTTAATATACATTTTAGTACAAATAAACTTTAATATTTGCTTTTGCAAAACGCGTGTTCAACCAAAGTCACAAGTTTTATCTAAATCAATTTATAATAAAAAATTATGTAAATAAGCCGCAGAATCTGATGTTTAATAGAAATATGGAAATAGTAGTTGAATAACTCGTGTAATGAAAATAAAATCTTAATATGAATCATCTATATTGCCGAATGAATTTTGTTAGAATATATAGTTCCTGACAATACTAATTACAATAAAATAATAGTTTTTGGTTTTATCTAATCATAAAATTTTTATAATTCATATTGTGAACATTTATAAAAGTTGTATTAAGAAAAATATTACAATTTGCCCTAATAGAATGAAAAATGGAGAATAGCACATCTTGCAAATGTTTTGCCACATATTTTATTAATTGTTTTGATTTTAAGATTTGTGTAAAAAATAAGAAAACGTATGAATGGTTTTAGCTACTTCTAAAAATTTTATTTTATTTATCATGCTTACTATTACTTTAATTTTTGATTACATGTATATATTAGGGCGGGACACAAAGGTCCAATTTGATTTTCAGCAGTTATGTTGTGAAAACGAAACCAACTACAGCACAATAAATAATACATTTTAAATAACTATGATTTTTTTTGCTATTTTCCAAAATATTGTCACCTAGTCGTTTTTGCCCGAAAAAGAGACAGCCAGTGAAGGACAAAGAAATCCACCTTCTTTTTATGATTTTAAAAAAGATTTTATTTAATAATATCTATAATATTTTAATCAATGCGATGCAGTGTCATTATTAGGTTGAACAATATAATAATATTGAAAATTATAACTTAAATATGTATTATACAAAACTAACATAAATGTCAACTTTTACTACTATCATAAATCTTGCTCTGGTATATGTATTTATTATTTATGTTTAATTTATCATAGCCAGATTCATTGTATGCTATCAAAGTTTTTTGAATCATTCAAATCGGATGCTTACTTCTCCCAAAAACTGCCATTTTTTGCATTTAACGTTTAACTCTATATCTCTTAAACGGCTGGACTTGCCTTTGCCAAAATTTAATCACCATTTTTCCTGATGTTATAAATCGAATATTTTTCAGATCATTCAAATCGGTTGATCTGTTCTCTTAAAATCTGACATTTTCAGCACTTTTTGCTCCATATCTCTGAAACCGCTGGGCCTGTCTTCGTCAAAACTAACCGGCTCACAATATGAATCGAATGTTTTCTGAACCATTCAAATCCGTTAATCCGTACGAAAAATTGTCTCCACACATACGCACGCACACTCACATATACACACACACATACATCCTTTTTTTTATGATCTCATGGCTGACTAGATTGCCACATCACTCTTGTGTTAGAGAAAATAGTTATAGACTTGTGGTGTATGGCATCGACATCGAAAAATTTGTATCCACACACACACACACATACACACAGATACACACATACATCCATTTTTTCTAAAGTATGGCCAAATGTTCAGAAACCTCTGAAATGTAAAAATATATAAAAAATTTCATTTTCGATTTTCATTGCGATTACTAAAACTTGCTCTACGGGAAGTTAAAAACCTATTTTTTTCTTTATTTTAATAATTAACTCTTATACCGAGGGGTATGATACATCATAGGTATGATACATCTTAGTTTGAATGCAATAGTAGACGATTCAATTTGTCAAACAAAGGTGATGAAATACAAACAACACATTGTCTTTTGTCTTGAACCATTCTTATATTTCATTTAGTTCAGTTTGAGAAGCAATGTCATACAATGTACACAAAACAAAATAAACTAATAAACTAAAATGTGTACCAACTCCTACCATGTGTGTGTCATTAACGCATCGTTAACTATGACGTGGATTTTTTTGAAATGTATCCAATCAACAAGTGATCTATTACAAACTGTCGGCTTCTTTGGGTACATCATTTGATTCCAATTGAATCTTTATTAATCACTATTATATCAAACAATGTTTAGAAATAGATTGATGTTATGCAATATGACAATGGAGAGTTTGGTAAATTTTTATGGCATCTTATAAGATAATATAAGATGAACATACAAGACTCTTATAAAATGCACTTAAAGCTTTTTTGTTTTGAAAGGGGTGAAATTAAAGTAATATACGTTAATTTATAACGTAATATACCGTAAAAAATTAAAGTGATATTTTAAGGAAAATTGAATCCAAGTGGTATTTTGCATTATTACAAGTTGCTACCTGATATATGTTGATATATCGACTTTTAATTAGAAGTGCAACTTTCAAAATCGTGACAATAGGAATTTGAAATTTACACCTTCCTATATTTCAAACTTTATTGTGTTATATATGGCAATGTATTAATTATCTACTCATAGGGTACGTTATTATGATCGTCTAAAAATCGAAATTGAAAATTTATGCATATCTTCACGTTTTGAAGGTTTCTGAACATTTTGGCTGGATGCGTGTGTGTGTATGTATGTATAGATACATTTTTTCGTCCTCGTTTTTGGGCGCACGGATCAACCGATTTGAATGTTTTAAAAAATATTTGATTCCTATTGATATGGAGATGTGCTGATTGGTTTTCGTCATAGGCAGGTCTAGCCGTTTCGGAGATACGGAGCAGAGAGTGCAGAAAATAGAAATCGAGTTTCTGAGAGAACGGAGTATTCGATTTGAATGATTCAAAAAACGTTCAATTCGAAATGATGGATAGAAATGGTGATTAGGTTTTAGCAAAGGCAGGTCTAGCTATTCCGGAGATACGGAGCTGAATATGCAAAAATGTCAGAGTTTCAATTTTTTTCTAATTTACAAAAAAAAAGTTTTTAAGTAAATTGGGCCATACACTTACCCACTCTTTTACGAAGTTAAATTATTATTTATTATATTTGTGTTAAAAAACGTAGAAATATTCAATCAATGAATTTATGAATGATGGAAATGAATAATCAATGCTTTTTTGTATTTTACTTTTTCGCATACTATTAAAATTGAATGCAAATGAAATTTTTGGTATACTGATTAACGAAATCTTAGAACTTTGAAGAAAGAGTTATTTAATATTCAAATTCAAATAATATTTTATCATAGTCAGCTTTTTTTGAAAACGGGCCAATCGATCGATACAAAAGATTCAAATTACATATCTACTCTACAAATTAGTAACGCATGAATAAATTGTACTGCTATATAATTATTTTTTGAAATACAAACAGAAATATTGATCAAAATATTTACTTCTTCATATTCAAATATAAAATCAATTTTTAATAGTCATTATTTGAAAAAGCTATTTCACACTCCAATGAACTCAACGTAACATCAAGACATGTTGACATAAATGGATGGAAAATTTGGAAAAACTGCCTTACACAATTTGTCGAAAACTGTTGCATTTTAAAGCTTGTTTTTTATTTAAATCAATGTATGAATTATACGTAGATTATTTTTTACTATAAATTTGCATACAAATTTCACCGTAAATTATGAAAATTTTAGGTGTAATTTGTTACTTTTTTGAACAATATGGCATAAAATTTAGCGTTTAAGGTTCAGTAATATTATTGAATAAAATTAATTTATATGAGCGTCTAATTCACAATAAAAATATTTACAGAACACTTAATAATCGGTAAATATAGTATTTACCGGTCAATTCATAATTGTGTTCTTAGCATTTTTTTTAAATTTGTGGATTGCTTAAACATGAGTCTATAGTTTCACAGATATATTTCAAACTATCTCATCCTTAGAAGAGTCTCTACCTTTATTATTGCTTTTATGAATTATGTACGCATTGTGATTTTGTTTAACGGTATTAAGGGGGTTGTTCTTTTTTTGTTACAAAAAATGCAAGATATTTGTTTTTGTTTTTCTCGAAATGTATTTATCATAGAGACATGCGGTTTTTTTTAAACAAAAATTACAAAGTCATAGAATATTACGTGATTTTCTTCTTTTTTTGCGCCGTCATTTTTTAACCAGGGGGCGCCAAAGTCGGTCTTGCAAAATCGATCTCTTTTGCGGTGCCACAGATAAATCTGTTGCGCATCGCCCGAAACAAAAAAAAAGAAACTACGTTGAAGAAGAAGTTTGAATCCAGTCCCCCTACCAAAATGAAAGAAAAACAGCAAGAAGGAAAAAAATGGCAGCTATTTTAAAAAAAAGTGTCCAAAAAGGCCTTTTTTGGGGCGAGAAGCTTCGCAAATTTTTTTTGCGTAATGTTATCAAGTTGTTTGAGGTAGGGGGACTAGGTATTGCAGTGGTGAACAAATTAAAAAAAATGCAAGTCGATCCGACTTGTAGTTTTTTTTAATTTGTGGCACCGCATTGAAAAAAGTCAATTTGAGAAAAACGTATTTAAAGTTTTTAATATAATGTACTAAATACACCATTTAATTTAATGTACGAAATACACCATGGTGTTCAAAGATGCTGACACATTAAAAAGGTCATGTGCATGAGGTATTATAATGAAAAAGAGGCAGCTGGCATACAATAGCTCGCGGAGCGATAAAAAACGCTTTCAGAGGATCATACATATAGAGATAAATATATCTATAACTTCGTCAAAAAAATAGATATTGAGATGATTTTTTTTTTAAATAATTCTAAGGTTTTTAGCTTTCATAATATCAAAAAATCTCAAAACCGAAACAAAGAAAAATAAAAAAAGAACAACCCCCTTAAACAAGATACATTTATTACATTAATTAAATATCTCATTAAATAAAAAACGTATTGGTTTTCTATTAAAAACCCAGAAACAATCCGGTTACTTGACGTAAATATTGTTTATCACATTATTAGTTAATGTGTTGATGAAATGGTAATTACTTAGTTTACCACAATTTATCTCGAATATTTATTAGTTTTCAATTGAATAGAATAATATTTTAATGGATTTTTTCTAGTGCTACGTAACTGGGGCGGTTTTGCTGCTTGCTGCAGCTTGTGGTATGCCAATTGGTTATTCGGCTGTTTTGCTGCCGCAACTTCAAGAAAGGAATGACTCCTTGGCAACAGATGCTGATATGGGCTCCTGGATTGGTAAGTTATACTACAATGTGTTAGTAAACTCGGAAAATATTCTTTTACTTGAATATATCTTTAACATTAAAATTGCTTTGTAGTTTATTTACTTTTAGACAATTTTAATCTATAATATTGCAAATTGGAATCGTTTATTTAGAAGTAAGAAGTATTCTCTTTTAGGCCTAAGAATTACAATATGATTGTGTAAATGGTATTGTATGAATAGTTTCAATATTCACACTCAACCAACTTTAATTTTCTTGAAAAAATATTTGAGAAACAAAGCTAAGATGTCTACAGCTAATAAGCCAAGGCAAATTTGATATTTAGATTTTTAATCTAAAATTATTCTGCTAATCACAATTTTAGGTATTTGCTGAGCTTACGGAAAAACGGTTAAGATTATAAGACCCATATTATGCGGATAAATGGAAACAATTTTTGCTCATCGCATATATAAATTAATTAGATACTATAACGATATTTTATTTATTTTATATTTTTTTAATTTTATTCCAAACTTTGATAATTTTTTATGATTAAACCAATAAATCAATAAATCCATGAATTCGATAACCACACAAATTATCATCAAAATCGTCGAACAAATTTGAACCATTAAATAAATTTCAGTTAGTTGTTGCAAAAAAATTACATGCTTTTTCCAAATTCAGGCTATTCAGAACGAATTGAAACAATTTCTCCGTCTTAGTAATATTCAACGTATAATATAAAAGCTAAAGTAAATACATACAATTATTTTTTAAGTCTTTGCTTAAAGCTATGACTTGAAAATAAATTAAATTTTCATTTCCCATATATATGAAATATATACTTTGTTTATATCAGCTTACGTTAAATATACAATTCGTTAAGCCCGAATTGTTTCTAAATCTTTTCTGGAATAGACCGACTCGTCAAAAGCACGTTCTTGTAAACTTCTGTCAACAAAACGTTACATCTACTGCAAGTTGATTAAATTACGAATGTTTTCGTGTGTTTACTTATTTCTTACAAATCAATCATGAAGATTAAAGGAATAAATGGAAATACTGCCAAATTTTACCGACATTCACAGCAGTAGTAGTAGAATAGGGGAGCTAGTTTTTTTTAAATCATCTTGGGAATCACTGGTTATATTTCTACGAAATGACGATGAATAGATGCTGTAACTATTCCTCTATCTAATCAAGTAAAAATAATTTTCAAAAATTCATTATTTCACAATTAATTAAGTTCTACAAAAAAGTGATTTACCCCATTATTGAGGATAGTTGTATTTATAAGTGAGCAAGTGGTGTCGATAAAGAAAACGACAACAAAATCTCTAATCATTTATTTTTTGTTTATTTTTAACTGAATTGAAATCTTTCTAAACACATTTCTTCTGCAACATATCCTACATGTGCTCACAATTTACAAATGATACGCTCTATCGTCTATCCAATCTACTTAAGGGGCACAACTAGTGTAACCGCCTAAATAAAATGTGATTTTTGAGAATTTATATTAAAAAACCTACTTTATCAATCATTTCAAAATTTTAGGAATATATTTACACATGTTTTAAGAATACATAGTAAAATTTTTGAAGAAAAAAATTAAATATTTTTTAAGTTATCGTCGATCTCCAACGGCGCGACAAAAGAAAGGCCCTTCACTGCTGCAGTGATTCCGGCCTTCTACGTTGATGAAATTAAAAAAAAAAATCTCGTTAAACTAGATAATATTGTCTGTAAAATGAACTACGATAAAGAAAAAAATCAAAAATTGACAAAATGACGGCGTTTTTTTTTAAAAAAAAAAAGTCGAATTTGGGCTGCCAAAATTCCAATTTTAATCCGATCAAAAAATTGATAGTTTATTTTACGGAGAACTATATATAGAACATGTAAAAAAATTCGATAGTGATCGGATCATTTGTTTTTGAGTAATCGCTGCACCAGATTCGGAAAATGCTGTTTCGAGAAAAACGCGTTTAAAGATAAAATGATCGTTATACTATAACTCAACTGTAACTCAAAAACTATTTAAGATATCGATTTAAATTTTGGTATGTTTTTTTTAAAGGTATGTATAACCTATCGAAATATGGAAAAATTGAAAATTCGATTTTTTGAAAATTTCACACTAGTTGTGCCCCTTAATGATAGTACATATATTAAATGAAATATAGTTCACGACCATCAGGCCTACAGAAAGACTGACGATCCATCCCAATTTTTACCCTTATGGCTGTTGACTTTCTAAAAAACTAGAATGCACCCACTAGAACTCAGCTACATATTGGTATAATTCCAAATCTAATTATTTTCTATATATAAACTTATTTTTACTTCAAAACATTTCAATTTTGTAAACATTCTTCTTTTATTTACATAGAACATTTCTCTATTCAATCATTAATTATAACAAAGTAACTGAGAATAAATAAATAAATAAATCTACTTTTCTTGTTTTCAGCATCTGTGCATTCTCTGGCGTCTCCAGTTGGGTCATTTCTTTCGGGTTCTCTAATGGACCGCTGTGGCCGACTGAGGGCATTGCAGATCTCGGTCGCTCCACTCATAGGAGGTTGGGTATTGCTCGGATGCGCTCCTTCGCATGCTGTCTTACTGGCCGGAAGACTTGTGGCTGGATTTGCTGTCGGGCTGATGGCACCACCATCACAGGTAATAATTATATCATTAAAGTTACAATCATGGAAATTAGCCTGAATCTGAATTCTAAGGAATTGATTACTCGGTTCAATAAATGCGTCCAAATCAGTCTATTAGTGATGGTCTATTAGTTTTTGGAAGAAGTAAATCAAAAGGGAATTGTTCTGGTGTTCCAAATGGAAATAGTGTTTATTTGGCACACGAATTTTAAATAAACAAATCTTTGACGTAAACGTAACTTATTGTTACCAACTTCTGGATTCCATGATCCCAATAACTTGAAACCTGTGTTTCGGAAACAAATCACAGGAGCCTTATTGGCAATTATATCATCACCATATTTTTTGAAAAGTTGTGCTTTCTCCGTTCTTATGTGTAGGCGGTAATTACCTTCAATCTTTCTCATTAGTTTGTCAACACTCTTTAAAATTCTGGTCGAGATAAGAGTAAGAATATACTACTTTGCAGTATCTCGTTAACATATATAGGGGAGACTGGGTACAGTTGTGCCAGGGTAAGGTAGTGACATTTGTCGTAAAAGCTAAACTATACTGAAATGTTTAAATTACCATTTAATTTAGTGTTCTCGTAGCTAACTGGTAAATTTAAAAAAATTATGGCTTATTAAAAAAAAAGTGGCACAACCGCACCCAGTCTTTCCCCCATATAAAACATAATATATTCCTAACATTTCGAAAATTTGCTTTAATTTTTATGTAATATACTAACATACAGGTAGAGTGGACTAAGTGACATTCTTATCATTTGAGCAAGTTGCGTGAACGTCTCGATATCTGCAAATATTTTATTTAGTCAATAAAAAATTATATTTAGCGTATAGTTTTTTAATTGCTACAAAGGTTTTCACAAATAATTTTGTCAAGGTTACGAATAATCAATTATATTAACACTTTTCGGTCGAATTAAATTTGGAGATCGCTATCGTAGTACTCGAAATTATTTTCCGTCGATAGAGCAGAACACAGTTTTTAGGTTTAGGGTGTGCCAACAATATTAAACCATTATCTAGTGTTATTTTTGTATAAAAGTTATGTTATAATTATAATTTCATTTTATGATGTATGAATGCAACGATTTGAATAGTAACTTGCCGTGGTGGTTAGATACATACCACCGAAAACGGTTAAAATACCTAATATCCAAACAATTTTAGCATTATCCTGATGTTTTACGTAGATAAAAATATGTCTGCATTTCTAATAGTTGGTTTGAGTAATGTGTTGCAAATTGGCAATCCTCTCGTTAAGTATTCTTTTTCGAGTTAGAGTTTAACTCAACTCACGAACCCAAATATTATTGTTATGAATTTATCTGTAAATAAATAAATAAATGAAGAAAATAATAAATATGCAAACGCCAGCGTGACCTTCTTTTCGTTTGTCCACCTTGAATTAAAAATAATCTATGGGCATGGCGTAGCCAGGTTATACTTTACTAATATTACAACAAACTGCAATTAAGATGCACTATTTAATAGGAGGTGATAGTCGGCAAAACAAATATTTAAAAAAATTAGAAAGCTGCCTTCCTTGTGTTTAGAAATCTGAAAGCATATCATTAAGTTGTAAGAGCACGACATCTGCTTCTATATGAGTACTATCTCCCTGTATTCGACATGATGTTATTCCTAGAAAATATCAAAAGCGAGAAGAATCTCATTAGAAAATTTAAAAAGCAAGAATATTTCTTTCTCTGCAAGAGCAGTTTGTTTATTTTGGTAGGATCTTCAAGATTACAGATTCAAGTTTTAAATCTGGACCTTAAGAAAGGTATCGAGTTTCCAGGGTTAAGGAAACCGTAAAAGAAACATTATTCTTTTTATATATAAATTGTTTATAGTTTTCAAATGAAGTTTTTCCAAATGCTTTTGAATGCGAATGAATGATCTATATAAAGGTGCTGGATGATTTTTATTTTCTTTATTTTTTTTCTCAAAATACTACCAAGTTATAAATTATAACCACTTTTGAGACATTTACAATTAGGATAATAATATTTTAATTACTAATTATTGTAAATTTTCAACTTCAAGTTTGTTTCTTTGCAAGTTTTTAGTAGAGTTAATTGTTACTAATTTCATTTATTATCATTTATTTTACATATTATCATGGACATTGATTATAAATACTTTTATTATATCTATGCTTATAGTTTACGATTTAATACAATCACGGTTAATGAAATTTGATAACTTGTTTTAAATTAGTATGTGCTTGCAAATCATTTATGCCATGGAATATTTGGAAAGGAAAATAGTGACACAAACATATATAATAAAGTTTATGCTGAATTAAAAATTTAAAATACACTAAATAGTACTATTTATATCAATGCTATTTGTAAACAACAACATATAATACGCGTTTTGTAATTAACGGAAATCACAATGTGATATGAAGAAAATGAAATGATAATTTTTAATATTTTATCATTTGATGTTACGCTTAGAAGCATATAATTTTATATATTTCATCGTCGTGTGCTGTTCATGAATAATTTTATTATGTGGGTGGTACGTCGACCTCGTCCCGAAGAAAGTTTTCCATTGTTTTCCTTTATATATTCGCGATCGTTTATATTTGTCTTGTTAAATCTTTGATGTCTTCTATAAGTGATGTTGAAAAAGATTAATAACATGCTCTACTTTTATAATATAACTTTCCGATGTTTTCATAAAAAAACGATTCGCTAATTTTATGATGTTTCAAGCCAGTTTCTTCGATGTTTCAAGCCATTCTCAATCGAATCTGATTCGATGTATCCCGATGAAGACTATCGTTTCTGAGTTGTGTGTGACGATCGGCCGAGCCGTTTTTTTGTAATTTGGAAAAAAGTGTTAAATTTTTCGTTCACATTTAAACTCATACTACCGAATCGATTTTAAAAAATCAAAAACTGTTCGAAAGATATTAGTTGGGAATGATACTGATTACTCCTAAGTGAAAATCTACCGAGCCGTTTTCTTGTAATTAACTGTTGAAAAAAAAATTAAGCCTATTTTTATGGAACTTTTTGGCGATATATATCATGGTCTTATAGAACTTACTGAAATATTACGGCCTTACGACAAGTAGTTTTATTTTAAAAATTTACCGATGTTTGAGAAAATGAGTAATTTTTTCGACGTTCGTTAAAATTAAAATTAGACGATTTACTTAGTATAACGATAGAGTTCTTAGTCTTAATGACCGTACTAAACCATTAAAGTCCTACGGTAATGGGTTCAATTTTAAAAATTGTTGATTTATGAAAATTTGCTTTCAGAAAATACTCCGAGTTAATGTGTTCGTTTGTTTTCAATTATGTGTAATAAATCTACTCGGAATACTTTTAATCACTCATAAATTAATTTATTTTTTATTGATTAAGTCGATTATTTACATATATCCATAGTCGTTTGTTTACACATATCGGGAAATTCATGTAACTTGTCTCAAGGCAAACTACCAATACCAACCAGTTCATTATAATTTTTATATTTAATTTTTTTTCACTGGAAACAATAAAATTATCTGTTCCGTACATTTAATTGTCCATTTCAAAAATATATACAAATTAATTCCTTCATATATCCATATCAATACCTGTATTGGAATCGTAAACTTACTTTACTATTCTCATCGCTAGTAACATCAAATTTATCAATATTGTAATAATTTATCAAAATTTAATTATTCAAACACAAAATATATATGTGAAGTATATCAATCATTCGTTTGTTGTTTCATTTGCATAATTAATGATGAGTAAGTACATAGCTGATTTAGATTAATGTTGTTCTAATCGAGCTTGATGAATATTTTTAGTACAATATTAATATAATAAAATGTTTTAACCCCAATATCATTGGTTCGTACTTTGTCAAGTTCCAACTCACCAATCCTCATAAATAAACAGCCTCATTTACCAAATTTATCAATATTTTTCGAAAACTTAAAATTAAGAAAAAACTAGTGGTGTATGGCATTGTGCCTCAAGGAAAATTGCTGGAACTTCGCGAACCGATAATTAAATTTTTTAACAAAGATTTGAATTTTTTGAAAAATAGATTTTTGAGAATTTTGAAATTTTTGGAAAATATTGACTTTATAAAAGCAAATATTAGCCGCTGCACTCACATGTAAAAAGATGAAACCAATAAATCAGGTTCAATCAGCTAATATCTTACATTTGTACTTTTACACAGGTAATGACACCAAGTCTCTTACATAAATTTATCAATAATATTCAAAAACATATATTAAATAAAATAAGTCAATTGTGCCACAAAGTATTCAATAGACGGTGCTGTACACTTGGTAATCTAGCCTTTCTATACAATGTTCTCTTGAAGAATTTTGAAAATAAATACTTCGAAGTTTATAATAAGATTAGTTTTGATTATAGCAAATTCAAGATATTTTAAGATACACTATTGTTCTTTAATTAATAAGTGTTTTTTTTTAAAAAACAAAACTAATTTATTCTTTCTCAAGCTGCCTCTCCTAAGACACTGTTGCACTATATATATCGCACCATAAAGCTAATGTAATAATACATACCTCTTCATAATCGTTTAGTAGATTTAATTTCTTTAATTCCGATTGACTGATTGATGACATTTTAATTTTTTATCGCGTGTTTGTGAGGGAACTAATTTTCATTGGCATTGTTCATAACTCGCGTGTTTATCAATTTTGTGATTATAAAAGCATATGTCATTTCTAGACTGACTAATCGTGGGAATACATTAAGCTCGTGTAGTCATATCAATTAGAAAATTCTGAATAATTTTTGTTATCATTAGGTATAATATCAACATTTTTGATCGATCGGAATATTTAATGACCAACGCTATTTCAAACAAATCTCTTAATATTTTTAATATGTATAAGTAATATCCGGCGTAACAATAATTATAGATTATGCAGGAATCTTCATATATTTTATAGTATTGCTTCCGCATGTAATGAACGGAGGTATTTCATAATATTTTTCGTTCAGAACGCTTATTATCAAATTCATATAATTACAGTGATTTGAATGGAATTTCAAAAAATTAAATAAATTTATTTAAATAGTACACGAGTATATTAAGTTTTAAGCCTGTTGAATAAAATCACTATTTAAAAGAAATGCGCCATAAATAAGCTCTGATGGTAGTAAAACTCTCATGATACTCCTGCCATACGCTTTCATGATGCAAATGGATCATGTAATTGTTAATCATAATTTATTTTTAGAACTTTAATTTTTTCTCTGCCCGATAATTCAAATCCCCTATTTTATGTTATAAATTTATACCTGAATCACTTGAAAATAAAAAAAATCAATATGAAATAAGATATATGTATGAGTAAAGTCGTCTTTGGCATTTAGTTGATATTTTTTCGATAACGGCCGCAACGATTTCAATAATTTGGTAGAGCTAAAGAACTTGAGCTTGACTTGATTAGATGAATTTGCAAGCTAATTGGTTAATTGGTTTGTTTATAATTATCAATCAAATGGAAAATTTGATACAGAAAATATCTGGACAAATTAAAAAAAAAATAAAACCAGTGAATCTGTTTAAGTTAGGAAGTAAGCTGAAAGATTTGGTAATGTTTTTAAATTATAGTCTTTCCGAAATCAGGTCCACAAATCAATGATTCCCTTTTCTTCCCTTGTTTATTATTCCCATGACTAATTTATATCACATTTTATTCATTTTTATGCAATTTCTTTTCGAAACTTCTGATTTCATGTTTCCTGGTCTTGTGTTTCGGTTTTCAGACTCCTGTATTTTTTTATTTGTAAGGTTTCAATCGCCTGCATTCTTCTTTCTTCTTTCCACTACTTTTAATCCTTCTACTTCATCTTCGTCGACGTCGTGTCTAAGGCGCTTTTTTTGCTAAATGAGTCCAATTCAGTTTCCTTTCGTTTTCAGGATCATGCTTAGTAGAATCCTTTCTTAGCGCACTCTTCTCAGCACTTCTTCATTTGTTACTTTGTCTGCCCATTTTTTCTTCTGCATTGGTCTCTAACACCACATTTCAAATCTCTTCAGAAAGTTTTTGTCGGCCTTACCCAGAGTCCATGCTTCTGATCTGTACAGAGCTATGCTCCAGATCTAGTACATTATTAGTCTTTTCCACAAGTCGAGACTCGGTTTGTTCGTCAGTAGCGTTCTCTTCTTCGTGAACTCCTCTTTGGGGGCGTCCATTAATCACGTGAGCGAGTTTTTAACGGTTTTTGGACCCCTCCTCCCCTTGGTGATACATGGTGATATTCAAAATTAACCCCCCTTCCCCACTAAACATCACGCGTATTTTTAGTTACGTGATGAATCTGTAAAGTTTTTAAATTTTTTTTGAAAATGTTTTATTTTTAAAAAAAAATCAGTTTAAAAAAAATACACGTGATATCTTACTATACCCCTCCCTCCCTCAAGTGATATTTCGTGATTTTTTGTCAAACCCTCTCTCCCCCTAAAAACCTCACGTGATTAATGGACGCCCCCTTTGGCGCTTGTGATCCTTGCCCTGATCTTCCTCATGCAGCATCCGTCTTTGGCCAGGACGCTTCTTAAGTACTTAAGTGGTTTACATCTTCCAATTATCTATTTCATACTATTATCCTCAGTGGCTCGTCTCGTTTCGATATTCTCATCACTTTCGATTGGCCGATCTCCATTCGGTATCTTATATACACTTCGACGATTCTGGTCAAATTAATATATCGATTCGTAATTGACTATTTTTTTAGATTTTCATAAAATTACTTTATAAATAATTATTTTATAAATCTGATGACATGCACAGTTTCTTTGAAGAAATATATTATTCGTTGTTTCTGAATTAACAGTATTTGATATGATTTTGATTCAAGTTTTGTCGGAAAACGGTTAACATATTTAATTGAAAGATAATAGTTTGAGAAAGAAATTTTATGCTATTCTACAAGTTCAAAAAAGACAATACCCTACAATTTTGTGGTAGATTTTGACATTTAAAAACCTAACTTAAATAAAAAATCTTGATTATTTTTAATATAAAAAAATTATCTAACTTATTGTCTAAAGTCAAATACTCACTAATTGTTTTGTTTGTTGACCAATCATTTATCTTCCAGGTGTTCCTCGGCGAAATATCAGAACCCCGGCTAAGGGGGACGTTGATCGGAGCCCCATTTGTGTCATATTCTCTTGGAATTCTTCTGGTATATGCCCTGGGCAGCTCCTTACATTGGAGGGCCGTAGCTGGTGCTGCAACCGTCTTGCCAGCGCTCGCCTTGCTGGCGATGTGTTTGATGCCCGAAAGTCCAGTCTGGCTCGTTAGGAAGGAAAAGCGAAAGCGCGCCGAAAAAGCTTTGCTGTGGCTTCGAGGTGACGAGAAACTGGTAATCATTATTTATTCCCAATTTATTTCATTTTGAGTATTCTCTGTAGTTCATTAGAAATTCAAACTCACCTAAACAGTAAAATAGTAATAACATGATAGTCCAGTCATTATAGTAAGTTTAACTCCGTATTTGAGATACACCTAACAGTTGTCTCAATTCACACTCACCTACATCAGTAAATAGTAATAACATGATAGTCCAGTCATTATAGTAAGTTCACCTCCGTATTTGAGATACACCTAATAGTTGTCTTAAAATCTACATATGCTGCGTACAACCCTACCATATGTAGGTTTCGAGACAACTTTTAGGTATCAATATACAAGTTATACAGACTTACAGCTCAGTATCTCGAATTCCGAGATTCTTACCTAATTAAGCTTACATGGCTGGACTATGATGTTTCCGGCAATGTGCTTGCTTCTACCTCATACTTCAGGGTGGTCCTTAATATGGATATTTTCGAATTTTTCTGCTCCCAGTAGCTCAAATGCTACCAAATTATACCAAATCTCTATAAGTTTTAGCTCTTAATATTAACTTTAAGATAGTCCGCACTTCAACCAAAGTTTCTTATGGAAATAACATCGGAAAAATTTCATTTGTTTTTTAGAATTATATACCTTTGCGACAATAAATAAAAAACTTTGAGAAGAATATTTGTTTATTTTGATAATAAATAAAAAACTCACAACAAAAAATTGGCATATTTTATAAAATAAGTATTTACTTAGAAAGAGAAACCAAGATACTTTGGTTGGAGTACGGACTATCTTAAAGTTAAATTAGGACTAAACCTTTCAGAGATTTTTTTATCAATTTGGAAGTATTTGAACCCTTGAGAGCAAAGAAATTGAAAATATCTATATTAAGCAGCATCCTTCAGCATACAAATCATGTATTAAATTTTCAATCATTCAATCAATTTTCAAATCATCCATATTTATTTTGATCATTGATGCATGATGCATATGATTTGCTTCTTACTTTGCTATGAGTAGATAAAATAATCTTTATCTCTACAAATATTTTTTGTAATTGGTAGATTTTTTTAAAAGGCTGAGATGAAATATGAGATTTGTTTCTAAATATGAGATCAACTTCTCTTAACGTTTTAGTTAGAATGCAAGCTAAGGCTTGCACGTGCCTTAATTACAGAGAAAAAAATCAACCGCACATTATTCGAAGTTTCTTGGAATTTGGAGTTATAATCACAATAAATGTTTGAGATTTTTTTTGCTGATATATTTATATTTAAATGACGCTTACATTGCATTCATTAGTACATATTTATGCTTACAGAACAAAATGTTTAAATTGTAGTATTCACAGTGCTACTTTTCACACAATTAAAAAACATTGAAATTGCTGTAGATAAAACACACACACCATATATATAGATATGTATATATTATATAATATATATCTTTTACTATCCTAAATAATCTCTTTTATAGTGAATACTACAACATAATAAATACTGCTTGTTATAATCACAAATGAGTAATCACAATTATTCACTTCAAACTTTAGACATAATTAACAAAAAATCTTGATGACAACGAGTTATATTGATTAAATATTACACAGATATTCCTTCTTAACTATTTGCTGAATAAGGTTTAGTATTTATATATATAGTAGAAACAGTTCTGTAAAATAGTTAAAGTTTTGCTTAGTTGGTTTAATGTAATCTGTTTATGCCTGCCAACCTGACATCATTTTACCTATCTAAATGTTAGCTATCCAATGCATAAGTATTGTATAAACAATACTCATTAAAATGCAATACAATATACAAAAAATATTTTTCTAATTTCACAAAGAAGGAAATTGTAATTGGTTATTGTGACAAAAATTAGAAGAATGGAATATTTTCAATTTAATTTACATCGGAAAAAGTGTAAATGGTAGTATTATTGAGCAAAATATTAATTACAAATGGTACATGGTTTTGCACTTAGCGAGATGTTATGGATTATAAGTACAGTCACTTCATTGATAATTAAGATTAATAAGCATAGAAATAAAAAGAAAAATTTGACATGTTATTATGTTTTTCTCTTAACTAATGATAAATTAGCCCTTGCCAAAACTAATGCACGTCTCTCCATCAATAGCAATCGAATGTTTTTTGAATCATTTAAATCGGCTGATCCATGTTTTTGAAATCGTGACGAAATATTGTGACCAAACATACATACTACATACACACACATACATCCATTTTTTCTAAGGTATGCTAAAACATGTTCAAAAGGTGTTGAAACGTAAAGCTATATCAATTTTTTATATCGATTTTTCACGTTTACAATAACTTACTAGAAGTTAAAAAAAAGTGCAGCATCAGCACTGTTTATGTATTCTACATACTAGTTAAGATTTATTTAAATCATTTTTACATAAATCAACTATTGGGCTCCATTGAAAGAAACGTAGATTGTTCTATCTTTTTTTATTTTATATTCGTTTTTTATTTTAATTTATTAAATAACACCTATTAACCAGCGATTAAGAATAATAGTACGAAGATAGTTTTAAACACTAGCTTGAATTTTATTATCATGTGCACAACATATTTTAAACTTTCCATAGGGTAAGTTATAGTAATTTCAAAAAATGGAATATGAAAATTTTAGCATATCTTTACGTTTCAAATCAAAGATTTCTGAACATTTTGGCATATTTCAGAAAAAAATTGTATGCGTATGTGTATGTAATGTATGTATGTTTGGATACAATTTTTCGTCCACGATTTTAAAAGCGTGGATCAACCGATTTGAATAATTCAAAAAGCATTCGATTTGTATTGACAGGGAGACATGATGATTGGTTTTTGGCAGAAGATACGAGACAAAAACTGCCAAAAATGGTAATTCAGTTTTTGAGATAACGGAGCGTCCGATTTGAATATTTCAAAAAACATGTTACTTATATTGGCAAACGAAATTCTGATTAAATTTTTGGGAAGGCAGGCCTTGCGGTTTCGGACATCCAATGTACAAAGTAAAGAATGCCATTTGCCGATGAAAAATGATCATTAAACATATGCACATCAAATTATAGATATTTCAATAATAAGAACAAATTTTGTTTGCATTTGATCGGTTCCTTACCAATGTTTATACGTTAACTGCAACGCGGCTCTTATGCGCTTTGATATTTCGTCTCTACGCAGCTAACGCAGCGCGATTGCTTTGAAAATAGCTCAAAATTCCCAAAATATTTCGAAATATAAAAAAAATTCAATTTTTTCAAAAAGTATTTTTTGCAAAATTTTCTAAATTCTGAAAAATGTTTTTCGAAATTCTTCAATTTTGTTATCTATTTCAGAAATTTTAATTTTCATTACGGGAAGTTCCAGCAATTTGCCTTAAGGGGCACAACTAGTGTAACTGCCTAAAAAAAGGTGATTTTTGGGAATTTATATTAAAAACACTACTTTATCAATCATTTCAAAATTTTAGGAATATATTTATACTTGTTCTAAGAATACATAGTAAAATTTTTGAAGAAAAAAATTAAATATTTTTTAACTTATCGTCGGTCTCCAACGGCGCGACAAAAAAAGGCCCTTCACTGCTGCAGTGATTCCGGCCTTCTACGTGGATGAAATTTTAAAAAGAAAAATTGTCGTTAATCTAGATAATATTGTCTGTAAAATGAACTACGATGAAGAAAAAAAATTAAATTAAATTGGCAAAATGACGGCGTTTTTTAAAAAAAAGTCGAATTTTACCCAGAATTTTGATCGTTTTTGGACTGCCAAAGTTCGATTTTTGATCCGATCAAAAAATCGATAGTTCATTTTACGGAGAACTATACACCTAAGTCTGTTTTTACACGGAGATTGGTTCCAGAAGAAGCCGTGTAAAAAAAGACATTGATCTTATACAAAAATGGGTGATTTGTCCTACTCTCTAAAACCTATTAAAATTAGTGAAAAACAAGAATTCATGTTTATTTTAATAATAATTCCCCTAAATTAGTGCTATTCACATTTGCTTTGACCAGTAAAAATTGTTTGTACGCGCTAAAGGGGAATTCACTTAAATCTTTAAGCTAGTGTTCGCAAACTATCGATACTATCGATGGTATCAGACTTTTTTCTTTCATAAATACTTTTTTGTAATATGAACATACTTTGCAAAAATTAAATTTGTCAAAAAAAAATTGAGTACATAAAATTTCAAATCGTGCTAAATGGAATAAAATCGTGTAAAAAAATTAAAAATATTCAATTTTCAAACCGTGTTATATCAAAACCGTGTTATATCAAAACCGTGTACAAAAAGACCGTGTAAAAACAGACTTAGGTGTATATAGAACATGTAAAAAAAATTGATAGTAATCAGATCATTTGTTTTTGAGTAATCGCTGCAGCAAATTCGGAAAATGCTGTTTCGAGAAAAACGCGTTTAAAGATTAAATGATCGTTATACTATATACTATATATGTACTCTTTAAATGGCTGTGACTTAAAAACTCAAACTATTTAAGATATCGATTTAAAATTTTGGTATGTTATTTTTAAAGGTATAACCTATCGAATTATGGAAAAATTAAAAATTCGATTTTTTGAAAATTTCACACTAGTTGTGCCCCTTAAGGCACGATGCCATGTGCCCCACTAGTTGTTTTTTTTATTTTCGAGGTTTTTTTGATGGGCAATACCTTGCGCAGAGCTCAAAACTAATTTAAAAATAAATATTAAGATTCGAATCAGCATTGAGCGCGACTTGTGCTCGTTTTACCTACTTGACAACTATTACCATCACCGATGACGCAATGAATGGTGCGATATCTATCTATCGTTCGCCTCGAATCATGAACAAGGTCAATTACTCGGCTCATCTGTTCGTGAATTATCCACATTGTTTGTATTACATTAAGTTAACAATGCTAACAATATCTCTTCAGCGATACAAATGACCATTTAATGTATCAGCAAACAAGGCAATCATAATTATTTATCGTGTTAATTACCTGCGACAGCGGTGCCTCTGTTGTTAATATTTTTGCGCTTTAATTAATTTCAGATAACGATTAATAAATATTTAGATCCAAATTTTTCATAGAGATAAGCGGTTAATATTTGCATGTGAAGATTTAAAAAAAAAATGCTATATATAATGTAGGCGTATTTCGTTACTAAAACTTGGACATGATACAAACTCATGATACCCATTTGAAATATTTCAAATGATTTTTTGGCAAATCCTGTATTAATTTTTAACAATATATCTTATCGTATATGGCAGTATCGCTAATGGACATTCCAGGTTTTTCCTTATCATAACCCGTTAAATTATGTTAAAACAAAGTATACATTACAAGATTTACCTAATTGATTTTAGTTAAAATTGGTGATTTCACTCTCTGATAACAAAAAAATACCATTTCTACTTTAACAACAGCAAAGTCTTGTTTTTCCAAAAAGACAAACTTTGATTAATTACTGATTATAAATATAAACTAATGGTGCATGGCACCGTGCCTTAAGCCAAATTGCTGGAACTTTCCGTACCGTAACGAAATGTTCGAGGAATATTAAATGTTTTCAAATAAATTAGATTGATATAAATACAATACTGTAACATTGTCTAATATTTATAAGAATTATATATACTGAATTGCAAAGTTAAAATTATTTATTTAAAGTATATAAGTGAGCTTTAGAACTTTAGCAAGAATTAAAATTAGAATCTGAATTATTTTCGATGTGCAAAAAATATATACAAGCAATTGTTTTGCTAACAGAAGCTGAATTTTTTTTGAATCATTCAAATCGGACGCTTAGTTCTCTCAAAAACTGCAATTTTTGCACATTTAGCTCCGTATCTTCAAAATGGCTGGGCCTGCCTTTGCCAAAAACTAATAAACACTTCTCCCAATCATTACTAATTGAATGTTTTGAATATCATTCAAATCGGATACTCCGTTCTCTCAAAAACTCGACTTTTATTTTGTGCATGCTTTGATTCGTATCTCCGTAACGGCTGGACGTGTCTTTGCCAAAAACTAATCAGCACATCTCCCTATCAATAGGAGTCGAATGTTTTTTGAAGCGGTCGGTTGATCTGTGCGCCCGAAAACGTATATTTGAAAAAATGCGGACACACAAAACACAGACACAACAATTTTTTCTGGTGCATGTCAAAATGTTCAAAAACCTTCAAAAATGAAGATATGCAAAAATTATCATTTTCGATTTTTGGCCCATTACTATTACTAACCTACGGGAAGTAGGATAATATATAGGACTTCTAGGTGGAATTTACCTAGTATGAAAATATGTACTTAACATTTATTTACTTTAGATTAGTGGTACTCATCAACTGCGTTTTGTTTGAGATACAAGTGTATAGAATTACACTTCTATATTTTATTTATTGGTAATTTTTAGTTCCCGGGTTAGATCCCGACCTCGGCCATTTCGATATCAACCAGCATGGTATCAATTTTCCACTTGAGAAAGTTGCTTTTTGTGGGCATTGCTGCATGAAAAAATATTATATCAAAAGATGCTGTAGTAAAGTATAGTCATAGTATGTTGTAAGGACAACTAGTAAGTTGCAATGGCCTAAAATGTGAAAAAACTTAAATGTCCTTGTTTACTGGACATTTTAAATTGTTCATTATTTGGTTCATTTATTGTGGTGTTTACTTCATGCTTCATATTTTGCATATTGTTTGCTATATTTAATTGCTTTGCTTTAGTCGATTCTTTTATTTTTTATCATATTACTCGTGTTTGATCATATCATGTCACCTGGTGTTAATATTAATCACACATTCTCAGTCATTTTTCACTGGCATCCTTTTTTGGTTTATGATGGTCTTCATCTAATATTATAGTATAATGTTATTGTTGATTTGCAGGCGAAACGCGAATTGAGGAATTTAGAGGCTCGTGTCAGAGCTGAACTGATTGGTTCTTCGGCTGCCATGTCGACACATCAGCCACCAATATGGCGCCAGATTATGAGACCACATGTTGCTAAACCACTGTTTATCCTAAACGTATTCAATGTTCTTCAAATACTCTCAGGGACTTACTTAGTAGTTTTTTATGCAGTTGATATAATCAAAGAATTAGGCGGAGCTGAAATCAATAATCTTGCAGCTGCCAACATGACTGCTGCTGTCCGACTGGTTTTCACAATGCTCTGTTGCTATTTGCTACTTGTGATGCCCCGCAGAACTTTGGCAATCTTCTCTGGCTTTTTTGGAGGTGTTAGTGTTTTCTTCATGGGTTTATATATTATGTTCATTGCATCTACTCCTAAAACAACTGTCGATGTTTCGGTTCTCGGTATTTGTACATTAATATACATTGCTGGTAACACTGGATTGATGGTCCTCCCTGGTGTGATGATAGGAGAATTATTACCAGCCAAAACGAGAGGTGTCGTTGCTGGATATGTTTTTGCATTTTTCAACTTATCTTTATTTACTGTTGCCAAGGTTTTTCCTGAAATTTTAACAAAAATTGGGTCGCATGGAATGTTTTTATTTTTTGGCAGTGCGTCTCTTTTAGCAACTATTTTTATATTCGTAATGCTTCCCGAGACAAAAGGAAAGACTTTAGGTTATATAGAAGATTATTTTAGACAAGATAATTTTTTCTGGTTTACAAGATCTAAAGATACGAATGAAACGAAAGAGAGTACTGTAATTACTGTGAGCAAGGGATGAATTTTAAAAGCATTTTTAATGCAAATTAGTTTTAATAAACATTGTTTTAAATGTACTACATATTTAGTGTTGCAAGAAATTTATGAAAGTATCGGATTGAATTTCAATCTTGATCGTATCATCACATTCATTAGATATTAAGTAATTTTTGTGGTTTTACATACACATATTGTTGTGATTTGAATGAATGGCATTATTTTGTGATAATCACCATTTTAGTTATATTCCAATAATGGTTGATTTTGAATTTGATTATTTTGTGATATTGATTGTTTGCGGCAAGCTGTAGTTAATTGTAGTTACCACAGAAATGATCATTTTTATAGTCAACGGATAGAATTAAAATATTTTATACTAAAATACTTTCAGTGAGGATGATTATCTTTATTTTAAAATAAAGTTTTTCTTCATTGATTATCAGTATTATACGAGTTAATTGTATTTTGGAACCGGATTCGTTAGTAAATACTTGATTTTCTTGAGTTATACAAATTGCTGGTATGCATTTTATATAATATACTTTTACAGTATTTTTTGTACTATTTATTTTGAACAAAGGACAAATTCATCTATCAATGTGTGAAATAAACTAGAACTTTTCCACTATGTAAGCATCGATAAAAATTTGGAATGTATATTTTTAAATGTAGTTATTATAATATGCTAGTTAACATTTTATTTAACTCAAAAAATCGTATATTTTTGTAGAAAGAAAACGCATTCAGGCTATTGTAGAATCGCGCTTCTGGTTTTGTAGCTGAATTCATAAATAACAAATTAAGAAACATGAAAATATATTAAATATTTTTACGTTTCAAGTGTTTTTGATCATTTTGGTATATCCTAATTAAATAATATCCATATAATTGTTCAAATGCAATTTTCTGTTCACATTTTTTATGAATCCAACTAATTTGGATGAATACCGACAGGTGTGAAGATTTGATCAGGTTTTCAAAAATGCAGATACGACATTTTTCGACTTACATATCGTTAAAAATAATTAATTACGTTAGGTTAATTTCATATTATTTCTTCTGGTTCTACAATATAGAGACTATATCGATATTATTTATATTAGAAATTAATATTTCTCTAATTTCTGGTAAACTTTTAACTTCTAAATATTTTTATCAAAACTTTGAAAAAAATAGATTTTTGAATATTTTGAAATCTCTGAAATTTTTGAGAAAAAAATATTTTTTTTATTTTTTAAATTTTTATAATTCTGAATATAATAATGTGAACAAAATAAATTACCTTCAGTTTTTTTTCTCTGAATTTCATCACATTGGTTTATTCAGTTATTAACATTGACGCCTGAGACACTGTTTTCTTGAAATACGTTTGCAAAATAATTTGCATTTAAAAAATAATCAGTTTTATTTGATAGTACTATTCCGTATGAATTATTTTATGGAGAATTGAATAACTAGTGGTGCATGGTATAGTGCCTTAAGGCAAAATTTAAAAGTATTAATAGCTTTAAATTGTATTGAAAACTTTGAAAAAAATAGATTTTTGAATATTTTGAAATCTCTGAAAAATTTCGACTTTTTTGAGAAAAAAAGATTTTTTTTGTTTTTTAATTTTTTTATAATTCTGGTTTTTGTTCAAAGCAGTCGCACTGCTTAGCTGGTTTAGTAGGCGAAATATAAAAGCGCGTAAGCGCCGTTTTGCAGTCTAACTGTAAAACATTATGAAAATTGATACGGAACCCAAAATTGAAATTCTGTTTTTCCGTACTTTAAAAATCTGAATTTCCATTGTTGGCTCTCTTCTTTTTTGGCCCCGTATCTTCGAAACCTTAGGACCTGCTCTTGCCAAAAACTAATCACACGTATCCTGATCAGTAGGAATCGAATGTTTTTTTGAATCATTCAAATCGGTTGATTCGTGTTCTCGAAATCAGCGACGAAAAATTGTATCCGCACTTACATATACACACATACATTAATTTTTTCTAAGGTATGCCAAAATGTCCAGAAAGTTCTGAAACGTACAAGTTTATAAAAATTGACATTTTCGATTTTTTGCGATTACTATAACTTAACCTACGGATAAGTTTTGGTAACCTAGATTTTTTGTTAAATAAAATACTAATGCATATTTAATTCTGATTCATTTAAGACTTTTTTCAAAATATTCTTTGATCATATAGTTTTATGTATATTAAAGATGTCTGAAAAATTACACGTTTAGAAAATTGCTACGTGCCAACAGATTTATTATAAAAAGTTATTTTAAAAATGTCTCTCTGTTAATTATTGTATGGCTGGATGTGTGCATGAAAATATTTTATAACTAATCTAACTTGTAACTCATCTTGCCGAGATAAAGTGTTGGTGTATGGAAAAGCGTATTTAATTTATTATCGATTCTGTTGATTTTCCTTTATATGAGGTCTATTGTATATTTTGCAAGAAAATCAAAACTATGGAATAAGCTACTCTAGCGGTTGATAAAATAATAAGAGAAAAATTTCTCTCGTGGTAAACGCAGATTAAATTTTCACAGATGCGTTTAGAAATATATTGAAACTGAAAACTACAAATTATTTGGGACATTAAAAGATATACGGGCACAAAAATCAATAATTTTAAAAGAAAAGTCTGTTTAATGCAATTTTCTGGTACATCTCGTAGATATATGACGTATTTTTATGAAGGAGACTACTATACTTCAAATTAATCTTAATTCCCGACAATGTATTTTTTATAATATTGTCAACAAATTTTAACATTTACAAGGTTTTGAAAGACAATAAATTTAAAACTGTATTTTCTAAAATTTTTGAATAGTATAAATATAATAATTTATTTAAGCCTTGAAAATTAATATAAATTCATTCAATGGCAAATCGAGAACAATGGTAATCAAATCTGTACCTCACTTTGATGAAAAAGGATTAAATAAATTTTGGGCTTAAATCGGAATTATATGTAGGTTCATTGCCACAATATGAGAAATAGTGATAAGATATGACTCATTTCAGTTAATTATTTTAAAATCAACTATTTACCTCAATGTTGTACTGATGAATAAATTTTTAATCATTCCATTTATGCCTGTCTAACCAGGCTATCTTCCGAAAAAGTGCATCTTAGAAATATATATTTGCAGATTAATCTGTATATTTATATAGTATTAAAGAAAATATTTTTAATAAGATTATAAAATGATAGAATCTCTTTTATATACAATGGGATTTTAATAATTTAGGTTATTTTCTTAATATAATGCAAAAAAACTGCATTTCACATTATTAATGAAAGTATGTAGATTTTGAACGTATTTGGCAATTATTTGCTATAATAAATTGTAAATTGTGTGTACTTAATTCTTTGTAAATATGTTTATAATCGTGTGTCGTAAATGTGTTGCTATTGTAAAGTGTGCCTTAAGTATTATAGTTTTAAATTTATGCCTGAACTTTACTTAAATGTTTGTGCGTAAATGTCTTTATTACATACATATTTGTTATAAATATTTGTGTATTGGCGATAGAATAAAGACAGAAAAATGAATCTATTTAAACATAATATTTTTAATAATTTTTTCAAAATATCTTTCACCAGCCCTTTTCAAATTTATTTTTCTTGAAAATAAACCGTATTTAAATTTTTGTTCATTTTAACGCTTTTTTAAAATTGTAGTTTACTAAAAATCTTTTTCCATAAAATCAGGCGAGAATACCTAAAAACAAAGATTTATGAATTTTTTTGTATTTTATTTGGAACTTTAAATTTTGAATGTTTTGGAGAAAAATTTATTTTCTAGTGGTTATAATATGTTTAACTGTGAATATCTGTCAATGTGAGAATATATATTTTGTCATTCTATGTATATGAAAATATAATAAAATATTTAATGTATACATAGAATTGTTTCTTCTAGTATTCTACCGCCTAGAGTACTAAATTAATTATTCCAGGCAATACAACAACACTACTTTTTTGCATTGAGGGTGGATTATTTGTCATCTTATTGAATTTCTTAAGAATAAAAATAATAGAACAGTAACGTGAATAATGTTTCTAGGATCACAATCAAAAACATTAACACAATTGCCCCAAGTTTTCTTAGTAGTTCTTTAAAAAATGTACTGAAGTGTGTTAGCAAGTTACACCAAAAGTTGGCGCATTTAATCAGATTTATGAAACATTTTACAATCATAGTCGAACATAAAATCTTAATTCTTGAAAATTTGGGGCAGTTATGTCAATATTTTTGAATATATAGTTCTAGGAATATTATTCACGATTACGGATTAATTATAAATTGATAAAAATTAAACACAATAACCGAGAAATGGGCATATATTTACAAAGCTCTAGGTTGCACTTAAAGCTCATAATTTCCAAACAACGTGAGATTTTACTACTATCACCTCGTTCCGGCTTGGCGTCATGGTATGGGACACCCTGTATATAGGTATATATTAGGGTGGTCCTTAAAATGGTCATTTTCGAATTTCCTTGCTCCTAGGGGCTCAAATGGTTCCAAATAGATAAAAATAAATTCTCTGAAAGTTTTAGCTCTTAATATTAAGGTTTAGATAGAGCGCAATTCAATCAAACTTCGTATGAAAAGAGCATGGCAAAAATTTTGAAAATTTAAAAAAAATGTTTTAGGTATAACTTAGCGACAAATGAATGAGTCATTTGAATTCATTCATTTGTTCGCTAAATTACATCTAAAAAACATTTTTTAAATTTTTGAAAATTTTTTCATACTACTTCCATACAAAACTTTGATTGAATTGCGCTCTATCTGAACATTAATATTAAAAGCTAAAACTTTCAGAGAATTGTTTTTTATCTATTTGGAACCATTTGAGCCCCTGGGAGCAAGGAAATTCGAAAATGACCATTTTAAGGACCACCCTAGTATATATATATATATATATATATATATATATATACTGGGTAACCCAGGAAACTATTATTATAAACTATACTATTAATATATAAATCTCAATAATTTCACAAATATTTTTG